TGTCCTGGATCCATTCCGAATGCTTCTCTTCCGTGGTCATTAGATGCTGGGGAAGAGCCAAAGGTCCCATGGTGCCAGATCTGGTGAACAGGTGGGTTAGGACACAGCGTAGATTGCTGTAAAGACTTCAGAATTGATTCGGGAGACCAAGGCAGCCACAAAGAAAGACACTCAAAAAAGAGGACTTTCAGAACGCCTTCAGAAAGTGGCAAGAATGATAGAATTAGTGTGTCCACAGTGAGGGGGATGTGTCTTTTTACTGCAATAAATTCTTTTTAATTTAAACACTCCCCCATAGGCTGTGGTCACGTCTCATATATCTTTATATAGATGACGATCCACTATGGGATCCACTATGTAACTTATGACACACGGTTTTGCAAACACACTCGTGGGTCTTCTAAATCAGTAATCAAGTGTAAGACCCAGAACATCCCACAGGAAACATGGGAGCCTTGGGAAGAGTTTGATGAAGAGGGTGGCCCTCAGGACATCTCTTCATCCCAAGTGGGCACTGTCTTACAGGGTCAGAGACCCCAGGAAGCTGCTGTGGGCTCAGGTGGGGCCTCCCTCTCCCACTACAGCCCACAAGTCATTGTCTGGGAGGAAAAGTTCTTAAGCCACTCTGACCCAAACAGGTTTGAAAATCGCCAACAATGGGGTGGCCTTGGCCATGTGTGTGTCCTGAGTGGATCCAGTGGAGGCCACGGCTTGCAGTCACCAACTCGACAGCGGTGCTCAGTACACTGCCCTTCTCTGAAGACCTCTCCATGCATGGCTGCAGAGATCCCTTTTGTAAATCAATGGGAGGGGCAGGAGTGATGCAGGGATGTGTTCCAGTGACAACAGTGTCCTACGGCCTCCCGACAGTGCCAACCTCAAGGGCTCCCTGAAGCTGATGGAAGGATGTGCAGCCCTCGCTTCTCCATAGCCAAGAGACAGGGGCTGGCTATGCAGGCCTCCTGGATGGCTCAGGACCTGGTCCCCAAGGCTCCCCCTATCTTTTCTCGGTGGCGGTCACAGGAGGAGAGGAAACCCTGGGGACAAGGATTAAGAAAATTGTTGTCTCTATTTAATTTACCCCCTCATTTGACTAGCTATGACTGAAAAGATGGATGTATGTGATTGTAAGAGGTTTTTGTTTCCTCTGTTAATTACAGATTCTGGAACAGGAAGTACGGTGGGGAGAATCCTCACCCCTGACCTTTGCTTCCCAGCGACGTCTGTGAACATGTCATATTACATGGTGAAAGTGCTTTGCAGATGTAATTAAGACTATGAATCAGCTGACTTTAAAATAAGATTACCCTCCAGCACATGGGTGGCCCTAAATCCAGACACATGAGCCTCCACAAGCAGAGGCCTTGCTTTGGCAGGCAACAGAAGAAGGAAGCAGAAAGATCCAGGGCCTGAGAAAGGACTGGTGCGCCTGGCTTGGTTGGGAGATGGAGGAGACCAGGCAGTGGCAGACAGAGATCTAGGTCCCAGGAACACAGGCAGGTAGCTGTGACCTGCCTTTCACTGGGGAGCCCTGGCGGACTTGTGACCCATTGAACTGTTCAGCAATAGCAGCATTCCCAGCTGCTGTGAGAGTTTTGTCATTTGTACTGGCAACAACTGAAAATCAATACAGGAAGTTTTCATAATGTATCCAACAAAGAAACTGCTAGCCAGAACACACAAACCACTCCTGCAACTTGATTAAACACACACACACACACACACACACACACACACACACACACAGAGTAACAGAATATGGGCAAAAGAGCTCAAATAAGTGGATACCCAGGGAAGCAAGCTGGTCCCGAGGTCATGAATCGCTAATGGCTGGGGAGGTAAGGGATGCTCAGCCCACAAGTGCCACCAAAGACAAGTGGCTGTACCAGGCAGAAGCCCATTTGGACTGCACAGCATCCCACCCCTGCTGGCCAGGGCAGGCCCAGGGACAGAGATGAGGGTTCCACTTAATTAATATAGATTAATAACAGACCTCCAGAGAATCCCACCCAGGTAGATGCCTTTCTTTGCAGTCAGAGAGAGCTTAGCCTTAGCAATATCACTCAGAGTCTTTGGAAGCTTCTAGAAATGTACAGTGGGCACACTCGACCAGAAATGAGGTTTGGTTTTGATGGTGACAGGCACACTGAGGGTTAGACAGAGGTCACATATGTGCATCTTAAAAGAGGAAAGAGTCACACCGTGATTTCAAACCCTGTTCTCTGCAGCAGGAGCGAGAGGTGAGGGTACGTTACTTCCCTCCGCCAGAGTCACAGCTGGCAAGCACTATAAGGGTCTAATTAATCCAGTGCCCTTCCCTCTTGGCTGAGAGACTAAAGGCAAGTGACAGATGTCATTTGTGTTGGCTTCAGGAGAGCTTTTGAGTTTGTTCCACATGATTTGTTCACCCAACCCAAAGATGCCGGCAGTTTGAGGTTTCATCAATGGCTCGGTCTCCACTGTGGTCCCTGAGAAAGGGCATCATGGAGGTCCTGGAGACAGGTAAGGAAAAAAGAGGAGGAGACAGGAGAGGGAAAAGGAGGCTGCCAGGGAAGAGCTGGCCAGGCTGGACTTCCTGGGCAGTGGAAGCCCAGCACTGCCTGTGCCACTGCAGATTCAGTGTAGCTTAGGGCTACAGGGAGACGGGAGGAATGGGGATTACAGCCTGCAAGGAGCAGGTGGCGCCCTGGAGAGGAGGGAGGCCCCGCTGTTCAGTAGGAGCAGTAAAGGGATGAACTGCTGCTCTCCAGAAGGCTCAAGGTGGCCGGACTTCCACGGGGTTGAAGTAGGCAGCGCCAGACACAGACCTGGGAGGTTGGGGTCCAAGAGCAGGGGAAGGACCCCCAAGATCTCTCCTCAAATCTGTCACAGATACAGGGGGGTGCCTTGAGCAGCCCCAGAGCCCAGGGACCACAGTTCAGGAACATAAGGCAGGGCCCCGCACCTATGATCCCAGCACTCGGGGAGGCTGAGGCAGGAAAATCACCAGTCTGAGCCCAGCCTAGGTAACTGAGCAACTTAGAGCCTGTATCAGAATTAAAAAGGAAAGAGGATGGGGGTACAGCTCCCCAACACTGAAAAACAAACAACAGAAAAGCTAAAAAGACAAACAGGGCCCACGCAGGTTAGCTGCATCCATCCTTCCTCCAGGGTTTCTGGCAGTGAGGAGGGCTTTGGGGCAGAGTTTTCAGGCAATGTCTTAGACTCACCTACCCAGAGAGTCCGGGCAGGGTAAGAAGATGGGAAGGCAAGGAGAAGACTTTAGGAGGCAGGGAAGAGATCAACTGCAGAGAAAGGGTCCCTCCAACTGACTGCAGATGGCTGAGGGGAGAAAAGCTCAGTAGTTTTAACTGACATAAATTTCAGGGGGGAAAGAATTCGAGTTTTATATGAAATGGAGCAAATATTAAACATGGGCAGTCACGTAAAGCACCCCTTGCTGGGGTGTGAAGCCCCAGGGTTGCGCCTGCAGAACACAGGTCCCTGAGCCTCACCCACTCGGCTTCACAGGGCCTGTGGACAGCCCTAGAGCCTGGGCACAGGCCACACCTCCAGAATGAATGGAGGACGTCACAAAGGAAACAGGAAGTGAACCCAGATGACCGGCCATTTTAGGAAGGCAAATGGCCACTCATGGCTAGGAACAACTCCTGTGTTAGGACGTCACAAAGGAAACAGGAAGTGAACCCAGATGACCGGCCATTTTAGGAAGGCAAATGGCTAGGAACAACTCCTGTGCGAAGAGAAAAGTCAGCCACAAATAGAATGGACACAGCCTTTGCTTTCAGCCTACGGGAGCCCAGCACTCCTGCCCCTCCAGTCAGCCCTGTTTCTCCATGTCCTGGGTCAACCTTCCTCCTCCAGTCTTTTTTTTAAGTGTGTATCTTTAAGGTGTGTGACACCATGTACAGATAAACACAGTCAAATGGTCACTATAGCAGGCAATTATCATATTCACCACCTTCCCTTTACGTGTGTGCTAAGGGCACCCAAAATCTACCTGAGGGACGACGCCTGCCTTGCAAGTGCAAGGTCCTGAGTTCAATCCCAGGTACCCCTCCCCAAAATCTACCCGAGGCCCCCTTTGGATGCACTATGGTCCACATATTTGTTTCTCCCCACAGTTTGCGTGTTAAATCCTAACATCAACATGGTGGTATGAGGAAGTGGGCCAGGCTGTGATGGTGGAGTCCTGATGCATGAGATTTCTGTCCCTTTTCTAACAATACGCACCAGACCACTGCCTTCTCCCTCCCACCACATGAGGACATAGTCTGCCTTTCACAGATGAGCCTCTGCCAATACCCAGTCAGCTCGCACCTTGACCATGGGCCTGCAGCCTCCAGAACTGTGAGACGTGAATGTCCATCATGGACAAGACACTGGGTGTCAGGAGCAAATCTGTGACAGAGGCCTCAAAGGACTGGAGGATCTGGGGTGCCACAGGTGGAATCCCGGGGGGAGCCCCTCCTCCCTGCCACCCAGGTTTTTCTTGCTTCTTTTTAGATCTCAGATTCTTCCTTCACACTCTTTGGGCTCGTGGGCCCCTAGTCTGTGGTCCAACCCCCCAACCTCCTCAGACCCCGACATCTGCCCACTCCCCGCCCCCCTGCTGTCCTGGGTCCTACTGAAGCCCATTTTCACCACTCACCTAGACTAGGTGTTAGTGTCCTCACTGGCCTTCCCATCCACACTGGACCCCCCACCCGCACAAAACATAGCCCCTCAAAGGCCAGTGTGAAATGGGTTATTTCTCGATTAAGGCTTCCAGAGATTTCCTCTTCCTTTTCAGATGAAGATCCCTGTCTTCTCCTGGTCTTTACCCCGGCATGCTCTGGCCCCACCTCTTCCTCCACATCCCTCCTTGCTTCCTGATGACACTAACAATCTTTGCGGTCCCCACTTGGATACCCCTTTCGTGGGAAGCCTTCCCTGCCCGGTTGTTGCTTGACCAGTAGGCTTCTCCACCTCACAGCACTTCCCACAGCTATAACCAGTACCGGTGTGTATGGTGGGGCTGTTTGTCCTCCTGCTGGACCATGAGGGCCATGTGGACCTGGCATGCTTCTGCCGCTCACCATGCACCTGCCTGGCTCAGAAAACACCACCCTCCTGAAACACCAGAGGAATTAAAGAATTAATCCTAATAGTGTTGGAAAAAACCATGTGCAAAACCTAGCACTGGACCACACAGTGGAAAGTCAGCCAGTGCCAGTCAATGTCAGCTTGAGGAGTGCAGGGTGCCACACTAGAACACTCCAGGGCTCCATTTTTCTCTAAAAAGTGTGATTTGAAATAAGTGGACCTGAGGAGGAGGGCGACTTGTGTCTTGCTGAACTTCCTGCCTAGTCTTGTTTCCCCTCCTGTGTCCGGAGCCAACAGACAAGATCTCCCTGGGCACTGTGGTGGCAGGCCTGGCTTCAGGGGGCTCCAAGTGAAAGGCAGGGAGGGAGCTGTCTCCAGAGGAGCTGCCTGTGCCCGGGTGAGTGTGTGAGGAACCGAAAGGTCCTGGGCCACTTTCTAGCTTCCCTCAGGCAAAACAGCAGAGAAGACTCTGAAGGTCCCTGAGACAGCTTCCAGGCTGAGGGACCAGAGGAGGGGCAGAGGAGCGGGATGGGGTTGGAGGTGACACAGCCTGGCCCACTGAAGTGAAGGTTTGGGGGATGGCAAGGTCCTGGTGGGAGTCAGTGGTAAGAGTAAATGAGACCAAGGGAAGTTATTTAATGCCAACATTTCCTAATCATAACTCTGTGCTCCTTTGAAAGGCCCCTTGAGCCAAAATCACTGAGGAAAATCAAGTGGTGGAGAGCTGATGGCTGCAGGGGTGGCTGCTCTGCCTCAGGTGACACTTTGGAGGCATGTCCCCTGCTCCTTTCTCTGGGACTTGCCTGGCCACCTTCCAAAAAGCAAACCCCACAGGCTGAGCCCATGCAGGCCAGAAGACAGATGGCTCCTCAGGAACCCTGAGCCCACCAGACACCACTGCTGGTGGCCTGCAGGACAGAGCAGAAAGCCAGGGAGCCGATTCATTCCTGGGACATGGTGACCTCTGCCCACAGAGGGGGCTCCCAGCCTCCAGCAGCAGTGAGCAGAGCTGCAGAAATCCAAAGGCTGTCTGTGCCCAAGAGCCTATACTTCCCACACTAAGCGTCCTTCTGGGTGCAGTCATGTGGGTAGGCCCAGATTCCCTACAGTGTCCCCAGGAGCCCAGCACTGTGGCACCTGCTGTACTCGGCACCACCCAGAGGGTCAGCAGCAGCCCTGGAGCCCTTTGCGCCCAGCAGCATCAGGGTCAAAGGTCCCCACTCAGGGCCCCACCAGGTCCTGGGGCAGGAGACAGATGCAGGCCCCACCCCAGGTCTCCGAGGAAGTGGCCAAAGGTCTACTTCCAGGAGACTCTGTGGACCAGAGAAAATGGAAAGCACCCCTGGGATGTGAGGTGTGTGATTAAAGACAAAGAGATGATTTCGGGGCTAATCCTGACTGTGCCCAACAAATATTCTTTAGGAAACATCAGTGCCACCTTTGCTTAGTTCCAGGCTGCTTTCAGGGCTCTTCTTCTCCCCAGAGGGTCCAAGTACCCTGTCCCTCTGTCACCCCGGTCACCTCCTGGGGCCCTCAGGCCTGTGACTGTGGACTTCCCCCCTCCCCCCCTCCCAGGACCTCCCTGCACCAGGCTTTATTCTCTTCTTTCATTCTTATTCACACCCCTAATTAAACGTCCACTCCTTGGTTTTCTGATTTTAAAAAGATGATTAAAAAAAAACCTAATCCAGCCTGTTCACTAGAGATATTTAGAAGGATCTGAAAACACACATGCGCACAAACGCACACGCACACACAAGGCTGTGAGCTGCCTGTGTCCTGGATCGACAATGTATCACTGACCGCACGAAGGAATTTGGAAGCTTTTTAACCAGAAGGACGGGGAAATACCTCTCTGCAACAGAGTGGCAGCCTGGATGTCAGAGAGGAGGGAAGAGTCATTTTAGAAGGCAGGAAGCCATCCCTTTCCAACGTCTTCACCCCTCCAGAGGCTCCACCCCCACAGCCTGGGCTCCAGAGGCTCCACCCACCGGAAGCCCCGCCCACCCAAGCCCTACCCAGTACTGACTCAGATAAGGTGGGACCTGCTGGTGAGCTGGTCCAATGCGATCCCCTAATAAGTGCTCACTGGCAAACAGCCTTACTGTCTTGTGCGTCCCAAGGAGGGCTTTGGGAGGTGCAGGGCCCCAGAGGTCAGGCCCTGCGGTGCCACCTGCTCACCAAGGAGGCCAGCCCTGCCTCTGTCACCCAGGGTACTGACCACCCTGTGCAACCCTTCTCCCCTCTTACCTGCGAGGTGAGCCCGTGCTCCAAGGCTGCTCCCCTCCACAGAAATAATTTATAGAAGGAACCCTATCCTCACCTACCAGGGCGGTGGCTTGAGAAATGTGCCAGACCACTTGATTTCCAGGTGGCAAAACAGCAAGAAGGGAAAAAGTCAATCGTGTTCCATTTTCATCAATAACAGACTTTAAAAAGTTTTTTGACTAACTTCTTTTAAAAATAATTGATTTTTTTCTATATTTGATGAAGCCCAGAGATGGGGAGGAGGTTAATGTTGGGCTGACTGAATGTAGACCTAAAGAAGAAATGATACTAAAAATAATTATTATTAATAATAATAATAAAGGAAGAACAGCAGCTACGAAAGCCATCAGCCGGAAGAGTGCCACAGAGCCCAGTGTCACCCGAGTCTCAGAGGACAGAGAGGACAACCTAGGGCTGGACTGTGGTGTCGGGAGCCTGACCAGCAGAGCTTGCTGTGTCCTGGCTGCAAGGTGAAAGCAAGAGGCCCTTGGAGGTCACGTTGGCACCGCCCCCCCCGGGATAATAGCGGCTTTTGAGGGTTGCATGAAAATAATAAGGTTAGAGAAATCCAAGAAAGGAGCGTCTGAAATCAATTATAGACCCGCTGCCAGTTCCTCGGGGTTTGATGTTGTATCCAGCACATTCCATGCACGCTCTGGAGGCACTGAGGGTCTGGTGCCGACGACACCCGGTTAGCGGTTAGCGTGCCACATTCCAGCTCGTCGTGCGCCAGGATGTTCCGTATCGGATCAAATAAGAAGCTGGGGACTCAGCATCGGCTCTGTTTGTGGCATCACCACCACCCACCCTGCAGGGGAACAGCTGCTGAGGTCTCCCAGCCCCCGGGGATCTCATGTTGTGCCACAGTGACTGGCGCCGCGGGGACGCGAGCCAGGGTCTGTCTCAGAGGGTGGAAACGTGTGTGCATTGGGTCTTTCTGTTTTCAGCCAGACGTTTGTTTCACTTCACTGTGCTGTGGTAGAAAGATGTAACCCCTGAAAGTCAGGATCTGGTAGTTCTAGAATCAGTGCCATCGCTAGGGGAAGCCGGTCCTGCTACTTTGCTTCCTGTTTCCTCAGCTTTCTAGATTTCTTGGTTTTCCAAGCAAGACCCTTTCATAGCTTCTCAATTCTCACACAGTTGCCAGCCCTTCTACTCTTCAGTCACTGCTCAGCTCTCCTGGCTGCGTCCCCTCCTCTATCTGGCAGGCTGATTGTCATATTGTACCATTTTAAAGAAACTAGCTCCTGCCTACTCTCTTCTTTTTTCTTTACAAGACACAAGACCAGAGCCCACCTTCCCATTTTATAATTCAAAGCAACACTTTGGCTATTTGACATCTGTGGCCTGAGGTAGCTGGGGAGGGGGGAGCTCGATGCAGCTGACTTGAATAAAAGAGCCATGGAAACAATATTCCAAATAAACACAAAACATCAGCCGTCTCTGGTGAAGGAGCTGGCCTGCTTGTGGGAAGATCTGCCAGACAGAGCCACCCCCAAGCCACCCTAGAGCTGGCAGACCCAGCCCGTCACACCCCATTAGACCTGGGGCAGAGCTAGACTTGTGTATCTCTGCTCAAGAGACACAGAAACGCTACTGACGGCCTAATTCCTTCATGCCAATGAGGGTTTGGAGAAGAGACTGGAGCGAATTTATGTAGAAGACATGAAGTCCTGGCATAGCTTTTGTAAATTTTGAGGTACCTTTTTAGGTCAAAGGAACATATCGGCTTCCAGTCTGAGGGGCTTTTGACAATTCTACATGCTGGTAAGACTCCCCTGAGCAGCAGGGGAGCACTGGGGAGCACAAGGAGCATACCCCTCCAACTCGAGGTCCCCTGGACATCACTACTTCTGCCTCTAGTCCTCCTCTTCAGCTAGAACTTGTTAGTTCCTTGTCATTTTCTCTACCAGGGCATCTCAGCCATCCAAGCAAACACCAAGAGGGGAAGTCGCATGAGCTATCCTAGAAGAAAGAGCGGCATGTCCCCAAATCCACTGACTAACTGAAGAAGTGCCAAGGCCCAGAATAACTGCTCTCATCCCAGCCAAATGCACACCTACGAAACAGCACATCCATATTGCGGTAGGAGACTAGGGCTGGGCAAACTGGACAAACAATTGAGGGGAATGTGTCAGAGGTCAGAAAAACCCAGAGGACATGAGCAGAACATGGGACCCTAAAGGCCAACAATGCCATAGCCCCGGGGCGCTGAACACAGAGCCAGTTGGAAAGTGGTGTCTCTAAGCCTCTCCTCTGAATCTGGCAGTGTGTGCAGAATTGATCAGAAAAGTGCTGTTCTCGATCCTTTATTATATTTGGAAGGAAGTCGAGAGAGTCTTCCAATAGGGCAGTTTAAATCTGCAGGCACGCCGAGTGACTTTTTGACAGGACAACTGTCCCAGTGCATTATTTGCACAGAGGGGAAGCCAGTCCTGGAATCCCGGACACAGCAGAGCCCCTCCCCTTGTCCTTGAGGCCACTGTGAGTCTGTTCATGGCCCACACTTGCCCCGAAGAGCGTTCTCCTTCCCCACCTTCAGTAAACACACACCTCCACTGTCTTTCCCATGCACCACATGAAGTTCTCTGTTCAGGGCACCAGGAGCCTGCAAAGGATCCCCTGGGACTCTCACCCAGGGACATTACAGACGTGTGGGCCTATTTTCCAGCCTCTTCCTGAGAAAGACTGTTCAGAAAGTTTCAAAAAGGCTTCCTGGGGACAGAAAAAAGGGAAGTCACCAAAAAAAAGTAGAAAAAAAAATTCACGGTGATGTATTTCCTGAAATTATCTACAACCTTTTAAGATGTTACCCAGCAACCTAAGAATAGTACTTAAGAGTAACCTTGTAACAATATACATCTATGCCTTAAATTGAAGGGAATGTTGCTTTACTCTTGGTGATAATGCCTATGAATTTCTGTAAATCATTCACATTCTTTTGGCTATTATGTTGAAAAAGACCACCCAGGTTGATGAACAGAAATTTTGAGCTGGAGGAGAAATAACATTTAGGGTTTAGAAGCTAAATCCCATTCCAGAAGCTCAGCGTGGAGGAGCACCTTCCCGGAGAAGTGCGGGCACCTGGGGGTGGGGGCAGAGATCAGGACGGCAGAGGGGTTTGTGCCAGGGAGTCCTGGCTGCTCCCTCCCACCTGATGTGAATGTCTGCTCATTTTTATTCTTCAAGGCAATTCACCAAAGTTCAGTACTGAGTAGGAATCTGGGGCAAGCACCAAAAGAATATATTTAAAAGGAATGAACTCAGAAAGCTAACCCAAGCTGCACCCTTCTGTGGCTAGAAGCTGGGGAACTTCGTTTTTTCTGAATGAAGGGATTTCCCCACTTTTGCATCTTTGACCACGCTGCATTTTGTTTCATTCTCTTTTTGGCAATGAAATAAGGCTCCAAAGGTCTCAGTAGAGCTCTGGAAAATGCACACCCTTTCTCTCCTGTCTCCCAGCCAAGGGCTGTGTTCTGGGGTCTCGGTGCTGAGTCAGCAGTGTGTGCAGGAACTCTCTCCAACAGTAGATGGTCAGCAACTTCATATTTGTGGTCACAATGAGGCACATAAGAAATGTCTCCAGCTAATGGACTGCAGCTGGCATGCAGGCAGTGGTGAATGGGCCCTACTGGGGATTCTCTCGAGGCATTTTGCATTTGCAGCATGCATGCCCATTGCCTTCGTGCCTTGCCTTGCTTTTTGTGCCAGCACTGGAAGCAAGCTGGAATTCAGTAGCATGAGATTTTTTTCAGTATCACTGGCAGAGGAGGAAGTCAAGATGCTGTCTCTTAACAATCCGAGGCACACAAATAAACAAAGGACCAAAGGGCAAGAACAAGAAAGCAGCAAGATTCCTCAGCTCTGAGGGCAAGACCTCTGACTTAAAAACTGGCAAAAACAAGATGGGAATGGCATGGGGATCCTACCAACCATGGCATACCAGGCTGCAGCTGGGTTTTCTCCTCCCACCATATCCATGACGTGACCCTTACAGCCTAGCAGAGCTCACTACCTGTATGCACCTGCCATGGTAGGGAGGAAAGTAAATCTCTCTTCTGCTGGTGACACGGTTTTATTGTCAGGAACCAGAAGCAACCTCAGGAGATCCAGTCGTAACCTGGAAGAATGTCTCAGACTGATTTGTGTCAGACTTGAGGTCACTGTCACTGCAAATGCTCTCCAAAACTCCACAGGTCCCCACAACAAGCTCATGAGAAATTCAAGATACGAAGCTTGCCTATTCTGCCAAGAGCTCCAGGACCCTCAGCTACACCTGCACACACAGGCACACACACACACACACACACACACACACATACGAGAGGAAGAATCTCCAGGAAGCTTTGAGGATACTCAGTGACAACTGATAACATCACCCAAGGGCACCTGAAGCCCCCAGTGTCTGCTGGATGCTACAGCCATGAACTCTGAGGTCTCACTGAGGGCCAGAGTCAAAGCCCAGAGATACTTTTGGGGTTGCTGGAAAGGGAGGTTTCTAAAGCTGAGATAAGGAACCAAACCTACCCTACCCGTAAAGTAAGTTTGCAGGTTCACTGACTGCATCAGGATGAAGAATCTGCAGGACACATCAAGAGGAGATACAGGAAGAGCCTGTTAGGCAGAAATGTAAGTACGCATTGAAGAAAGGAGTGGAGGCACCCAGAGGAACAGGATGCATT